GAGAATGGAAGGATTTATATTCCTTTTATATTCCTTCATCTGGTCTTTGCTTTCTTTCTCACTGCAGGGCCAGTGCAATGTGTAACATGTTCACACTGATACAATAGGACTGGGTGTTTTGTTAATATGATTTATTGGATTAGGGATTTTCTGTCTTCACTGTGAGTCATATTGTGTTGGGAGGGGTGCACAGAGGGAGCTCAACAAATCTCATTGTACATATGTTGTGCATTGCAGGGGTGGGTTCTAAAATTTTTTACTACCAGTTCTGTGGGCGTGGCTTATTTTGTGGGTGTGGCTTGATGGTCATGTGACAATTATTTAGGATTTAGCACAGGTACTGGTCTACCAGGCTTTTAACTACTTGCAGAGCTGTACTGGTCTACCCATTTATTTTTGCAGGCACTGGTCTACCCATTTATTTTTGCAGGCACTGGTCTACTCATGTATTTTTGCAGGCACCGGTCTACTCATATATTTTTGCAGGCACTGGTCTACCCATTTATTTATACAGGCACCGGTCTACTCATTTGTTTTTGGAGGCACCGGTCTACCACCAAACTGCCTTTTACCACTGATCAGCTGTAGGGCGGCCCTTTGAAGCTCTGCGGCAAGAGTTTAAACAGTTTTTCCTTATAGCCCATCAGCTGGGACTCAGGAGGCAGCAATAGATTGGGGGTGGGGCCAAATAAAAGATAAGAATAACGCGGAGGGGCGCAGAACCGGTTCAGTGACGTCATATCATCACCGCTACCAGCTCCACGGAACCGGGCCGAACCGGGAGGAACCCACCACTGGTGCACTGACAATAAAGATTTGAAATTGAACAAAGGCTGCTAACGACCAGAGGACTGCAAAGAATATAAATCCTTGCATCCTTCCATTCTGCACCATTCAGTCAGAACTAAAGAAGCTTCTTGGATGAGAAGCAATACATTGTTCACATTTTCTGGGTGGTCATAGGGAATTCTTTAATCAGTTCTTATTCTTCCATTCAGCTCTAACTGACTCAGCTACAAAAAAGGCTGACCCACCTTAACCCTTGCCAGAGTTAGTGTGTTGTCTGAATGCAACTGAATGTGTGAAGCAGGTTCTTCAAATAAAACTTCAGGTAGTCCTCAATTTACAACAGTTCTCAACAGTTCATTTAGTGACCGTTCAAAGTTACCATGGCACTGAAAAAAAGTGACTTATGGCCATTTTTCACAGTTGCAACCTTTGTAGCATCCCCATGATCATGGGAATCAAAATTCAGATGCTTGGCAAAATGGTTCATACTTACAACCATTGCTAAGTCAAGAGATCAACTTTTGCAACCTTTCGACAAGCAGAGTCAATGGGAAAGCCAGATTCACTTAACAACCAGATTACTAACTTATCAACTACAGTGATTCACTTAACAACAAGAAAGGTCATAAAATGGGGGGGAAACCAAATGTCTCACTTAACAACAGAAATTTGGGGTTCAATTGTGGTCATAAGTCGAGGACTAGCTGCAATGTCTTAACATGTCTTTATTTATTTAGGTAGTTCTTTATTAAATCCATACGCTGCTCATCTCACTGTCATGTGATTCTGTGTATGTACAAGTCAATCTACTGCACCACCAGTGACCTATTTTCTGGAAGTAGCGAAGAATAGGCAGGTGCTATTTAGCTGGGCATAAATCTATTCAATTACTCAATTATAAAATTTTAATGCTTGGACTTTAATATTTTATTGTAATTATAGACTTGCCTTTCAGATTCTGATTCAATTAGACAGTTAGATCCAATTTGTGCTTTCAAATATGTGCTTGCTCTATTGTGCCTCATTCTCTGAACTAACAGAGTGATTCCTGTAAACCCCTGTGGATTGATCTGTCTCCCTGGGCAATCTCATTTCTACACAAAATGTGAAGAAAGTTGTCTTACAGGGTGAAACCACTAATCCCCTATCTCAACACTGTCAATACTGCAGTAGCTGACCAAGGTTTAAAATCCTAATAGCTGTTGACACTTTTTGGAGCTTTTTGTTCTACTTTGTTACGGAATGTGATTGAACCAGAATAGAACTGGAACGGACCTTGGAGGTCTTCTAGTCCAACCCCCTGCTCAAACAGGGGACCCTATATCCGTGATGGCAAACTGAACCGGGGCAACGGCTCGCGTGCCCACAGAGAGGGCACTGTGTGGCACACAGCGCCCTCTCTGTTGGCACGCGAGCCGTCACCCCAATTCAGTTCCGCCACGCATGCATGCGCACCTCCCGCCAGCCAGCTGGTTGTCGGGTCTCTGCCGTGCATGTGCGGGGGGGGCACATGCATGCGGGGGGCACACATGTGTGGAGCGGTGCGTGTGCACGGGTGGTGAATGTGCGGGGTGGTGCAGGGGACCACATGCGTATGCGGGGGGACGCATGCGGGGAGGCAGTGCAAACATTGCATTTTGGGGGTTCCGGCACGCGCTTGCGTGCTTTGGGCACTCGGTCCGGAAAAGGTTAGTCATCATTCCCCTATACCATTTCAGACTTGTGGCTGTTCAGATTTTTCTTAAAAACCTCCAATGATGAAGTACCTACTTCATCTGCCTAGTTATTAATTCACTCACTTAATTGTTCTAATCACAAGTCTCCTATCTTCAAACTCTTATACTAGTCACCTGATCTCTCCGAAATCTAACACATCATAACCTTTAAATACTTGTATATTCTGCACCAGAAAGTGTACACTGGAGGAAAAAAGAACTATTAAGAAAATAAGATGACATTTTGCAAGGAGGTCAAGTCTCTATTCCTCATTAAAGCAGCTGCCTCTTTTGCTCTGTACAAATGTGAAAATGATGCAGCTCCTTTAAAGGGGTGTTTCATTTGCGTTTTTAACACAATTCTTAAAGAAGCCTTTAAAAAGATGTGGCTCTTTAATGCGTAGCAGAAAAATAATCACACAAATACCCAAGCACTTCTTCTGATCATTTTCCAAGCATGTTTAACCCTACAAATAGATGGCTAAAGTGGTTAATATAAATAAAGCTAGGTTCCTTATCTTAATTTATTCCTCTATGGTTAGATATGTTTTATCCTTATCCTCCAGCTCTAACCCCTTCAATTACCCAAAGATATCCTGCTCTCTTTTGTATTTCTGCCCATAGTCCCTTGCTTGGAATTTGAAATGGCTACAAGCAATTACATATTAGAAGGAAAGAGGATATTGGACCAGACAGGTCTCCAAACTGATCAAATGGGGGCTTCCATATCTTCCTAGGTCCAGCTTAATTCTTTGGAGCAGGGATTTCTATAATATTTACCTCAAACTGAATAGCTCCAGATGGTAATTGATAAATAAATCACTAAAACAGCCATCAAGAGCAGATCCAGAATCAATATATTACACAAAGAATGAGGTAAGAAGAAGCTAAGAAAGAAACTGACTTATTTATACAAAGTACAATATCTTCTACAAAGGTCACAAGGAGTTCGTTGGGAGTTTGGCTAAAATGAAATATGAAATATGAAAATAATCCACAGTGACACACTGAAGTCCAATCACTGAAAGTCAATAAACGTTGGTTTAAGTGGACTGAAATGGAATTGTGCTTATCTGCTCCCTTCCTCTTCTAGTCAAATTAAACCAGTTTCTTTTGTGAGGGAGAACTGTGGTTGATGCTGGCCATTTTTCATTATGCTTTATAAAAGAACAAGGGCATAGACAATCTTGATCTAATAAGCCATTATGGTTTATTTAGCAAAGAACATATCTGAATTATTTTTTTTTTAGTAAATTGCAGTGATAGTCTTTCTGAAGAAAGCAAAATATGATTCTCTGATAAACCTCTAAAGCAGCTGCAATTGCTAAAAGAAATGACCAACATGTTAATCAATATTTGTTCAAATAGTAATGTCATTTGGTTTGCAATTTTAAGCAAGCTCACATCATTTGCATTTCCTAAATTAATAAGCAAATTTATCTCAATTTTCTGATACAAGGCTCCATACAGTACATCGAGACAAAATACATACTGTACCTCCAAGAACATGTTAAAGGTAAAGGTTCCCCTCACACATATATGCTAATCGTTCCCGACTCTAGGGGGCGGTGCTCATTTCTGTTTCAAAGCCGAAGAGCCAGCGCTGCCCGAAGACATCTCTGTGGTCATGTGGCCGGCATGACTAAACACCAAAGGAGCATGGAACGCTGTTACCTTCCCACCAAAGGTGGTCCCTATTTTTCTACTTGCATTTTTTACGTGCTTTCGAACTGCTAGGTTGGCAGAAGCTGGGACAAGTAACAGGAGCTCATCCCGTTACACAGGTTATTACTAGGGATTTGAACCACTGAACTGCCGACCTTTCGATTGACAAGCTCAGCGTCTTAGCCACTGAGTCACCACGTCCCCTTAACCACGTCCCCAAGAATGTGTACATGTACATAAATAAAACTTGTCTGTTCTTTAAACAAAGAAGAATTTGAGTGGAATTGACTTGTAAAGAAAAGTATCTTTTCAATAGAAGTTGACTCCTCCTTATCATATTATGGAGACATCTATGTATGTACCTTTATTGACATCATTACAAAAGTGATTTGTCACTGCCTTCTTCCAGAGGGTTTTTCAATTTTCCAGATTAGCCTAGAAACCTGGCTTGCAATGATAGCCAAGTACTAACCATTTTCAACGTTTCGGTTTTTGAGACCAGCCCGTTTAGCTTTTTGAGACCAACCCAAGTGAGGTTTTTAGCTATGCAAAGCTGAGTTGGGCAGGGCATATCCCAATATATAAGTTTCCTGGGAAAGTTCATATTTACAGTCCCAAAGATGCTTTTTCCAAAAGGCAAAGTGGACTTTCTTGGTTTTTTTTTCTTTGAAAAAGTTTCACTTCTCATCCAAGAAGCATCTTCAGTTCTTGGATGAGAAACAAAACATTTTCAAGGAAAAAAACCAAGAAAGTCCAGTTGTCTTTTGGAAAAGCACCTTTGGGGCAACCATGACCTGGATGATTGAGCATCTTCACAAACATCATACTTACAGGTTCCAGGACTTCTGATTCTGGGGCCTTTCCATCCTCTTCTTCCGGTGCTTCATTCTCCTTATTGTCAATCCAGGTGGCCGTATCCTGAGCAGAACAAGTGCTAATTAAGTCTGGCAAACTTGTAGATGGATAATGAAGAACATCTTCTTCTGCTCCTTCCTACAAGGGAAGAACGATACATGCCATTATATATATATTTATTTATTATTTATTGGTTCGATTTATATGCTGCCCTTCTCCAGAGAGTCAGGGCTGCTTACAATGTGTTAAGCAATAGCCTTCATACTTTTGTATATACCTGCTTAGTAGGGCTTTCGCCCCCCCCCCAAGCGGTGTTCTTTTTTATACAAAGTCAGTATATTGCCCCCACAAACCGGGTTCTCATTTTACCTACCTCGAAAGGATGGAAGGCTGAGTCAACCTTGAGCCTGGTGAGTTTTGAACTTGCAGTAATTGCAGGCAGCTGGTGCTACTTAACAGCACTTTAGTCTGCTGCGCCACCAAGGCTCTTATGAGTATATTCATTCAATAGTTGGTACAGCAACCCTACAAAGTAAGCATCACACTATAGATAATGATCAGTTGCCAAGATTTCCCTTGGCTGCTACAGTAATACTGGAAAAGGGTTTTTTTTAAAAAAAAAGTTAATTTCCATCTTTGATGCACCTGAGATCATTGGACATGTTGAAGAATGAATTAGCTCATTCAAACATAAAGTCCTTGTTTAAGTCCTTTGCAATTGTGATAAAAAAAATAATTTTGTGACAAATTCCTGCATTTACGTTTACAAAGCAAAGCCAAACTAAGATCATAAACACAATCATGGTTTCACTTAGCGACCGCTTCACTTAATGATCAAATTGTCAGCCCCAGTTGTGGTCCTAAATAAGGACTCCCTATAATCCTTCCATACTTGTAGGCAACCTATTTCCATAATCTCAACACTTTGTTGTAAACTAGGTGAGATGGGCACCACATAAATTTCATAAATAAGCAGCAGCTTCCTATCAAAATAATTGCTTTTCATATAATTGCCATGTAGCAGGTTTCCAGCCACCCACTTTGCTATTTCTAAAGTATTTTAGCTGGTTTTATAGATAGTTTTTTTGGAAAGTTACTCTAGGATAAGGGAATTGAAAGACTGCCTCTGAAGGAGTGGATATCTTGACTAGAGGGAAACCACTGTTTCCAGCATTACTAGCCAAACATTCACAGCTCTTTTCCAATCAGTAAATTCACCAAAAGGTACAGCTAAGAATTGCCTTTTCCATGGACTCCATTTGACAAATGCCATTCAGAGTCAACAGTTGATTCTCCAAGTGATGGGAGATCAAGAACAAAACGTGTTTGGGCAAAATACTCCTTGGTTTCACTCGCAAAAATGGATGCCACACTGTTTTTAATTAGTTTAGTTAGCTTTGTGCTTTTATTGCACAACTGACATATAACTGATAAAATCCATATTGTTACCCACCCCAGTTGCAATAATAAAAGAAACGTATGCTTTTAGTTCACATAAAACATGTTTTGGCAGAGCTACTTCCTCCAAGATTTTAAGTCAGCTCCACAGAAGGTGTAAGTGCAGGAAGAATTTATGGAAAGATGGAGCAATTTGGCAAGGAGCCAAACTCCATCAACTAAGATTCTAAATGGCTTTAACTGATACCAATCAGAGAGAAAAACAAGGTGTTGCCAAATATGTTGGATAGTTAATAACTACAACTGTTGCTGAAGTCACTTTAGTGTTGCACACCTTAAGACTTGTTCCACTAAACATGAACATAATTGGATAGTTGTTCAATTATAGGACTAGAATTTAAATTTATACCGAGTCATCTATAGAGGGTCTCCAACCTTGACAACTTTGCCAAGGTTGGAAATCCCTGACCTACAATACATATTAAGTCTGAAAATATACTTGAACAACTGAAATTATTTTTATTATCCACTTCAAGGATTGGGAATCTTTGATCTTCTAGCTGTTTTTGGACTACTGTTACCATCATTTCTGATAATCAGCCAACCTGATGTGAGAGGTCAACAATAGCTATCTGCTGATTTCCCATTCCCTGAGTTATCTCATCACAAGATAGTAAGTACCTTCTCAGAAAGTCATAGTAGGATTCAATCAATCTTACATATGGTATGATATAGTTGATTAAGACGCCTGCAGAACAGGGAAATGGAGCTTCAACCTGGCTAAAGATTGAACCAGATTTCTATACCATGTTGAAGATGAACTCAAAAAGCCTGCACTTATTGGAAGTTTCAGAAATTTTTAAAAATAAAATGGATGCTTTAAACATCTGCAAGGTTTTAACGCTTCCATTTTACTCTACAGTATAACATCCTGATTTTAAAAAGTGGTCTTATTCCACCTGCTGTCAACTCCAATTCCCAGTTGATTCTCTCCATGGTTTTAATGGCCCTTCATAGAAAAAAAAAAGTTTTCCAAGTCCTGAACTAATTGATCAAATCCTCTCATAAGGTAGATTCGTAACGTTGATGTCCATCCATCCATTCTTTTCTTCTTCGTCAGTTTTGCATTTTCAACTAAACTAAACTAAAGGTGGTGATCACATTTTATGAAAAGAACCTTGTAATCTTCTATGCTTTCTTCAACATATGAAATCATATAAATAAAATTACTTACCCTGCTTGCCACTACTAGGTACACAAGGCCTTCAGCTGACCGAAGTAGAGCAACAGCATCTTGATGGGAGAGACCAACCAAAGACTGGCCATTGATCATTAGAAGCTCATCACCCACCTTCAGCCTGCCATCTCTAAGAAAACAAAGAATAAAACAGGCTTTATACCATTCAGAAAGCGCTGCCTCATGTGCTTAGCTTCTTCAGACTTAAAAAGAGGACTTGACAAGCTGGAAAACTCATGATGATATCAGAGGTCAAAGGCTGTAGCTAAAATATTCCTTAGTAAATGTTTACCTCCATCCCAAGATTAAGAAATGGACAAATAAGTGGCCATGCTTGATCTGGAAAACATGACTCCATCCCATCCTCTTCAGAGGGAAATTTCAAGGTGAACATCAGAGGCTGTGTCTGCATTTTGTTAATAATGAATATTCAACTCCATGTTTACTTAACACTTTCCTCTGGAGAGTCTCAGAGTGCTTTATAAACTCGAACAGCATCACTAATAAGTAGGTCAGCTCTACTACTGAATTTTCACTCATTTGTTCTGGAGTAGTTAACTCTGCATGGACTCATTCTGGTCCTGGCCCTCAATCCTTCCCAGCATTAGGTATTGAGATGCTATTCTTAATGGTCAAGTCCCTTTAAGCAATTTTTTTTAAGTCATTAGAAATGTCCACTCCACGCTAAGGCTCCTAGGCTTGAGAATTTGGTCTAATTTCTCATTTGGGAAAGGAAATCCCACAATTCACTGCCAGAAACTGATGTCAGAAACGCAAACAAACAAAAACTTTTTCCCAAGAGAATTCTTAAAGACAAGAATTCTCACGTATCACTTTTCTTTTAAGAATTTGCCTTTAAGGTTTATACTTAAAAGTTAGATTGCACCCCACCCAACATGGATTGTATTTTCAATACTTTGAAGGGCTGCACCTAGCTTGGCTAATGCCAAGACATTTTTTTTTTCCTGGACAAGGGCAGTCTACAACTCCCAAAAGCTACAACTTTGTAAAATGTCAGCAATTTTTTCTTTCTTTCTTTCTTGCATGGTTTTGGGCTTGGATGCAGAACTAGGTAATGACCTTGAAATCTAAGTTAGGTCATATTAAGTTAAGCCTGGAAAAATTTTTCATAGCCCCTATATAACTATCTACTTTATATTAGACCTACTGGTGCTCATACAGATAACACATACAATACTCCCTGGTGATCTATATTCCTTTTTCAGTACTAATGAAAGTTTTATCGCAGGCCAGACAGATTACATGCAGTAAATTGTGCTATAAAAGATTGGCTTTCTTTCTTTTTTTTTTTTAATCTTACAAATTCTTCCATTCTGCAGAAAGAGGCAGAATGCTGATTCCTAATGCTGGGAGTGAGATTCTATTTGCCCCAAGACAAATTGAGTTGAAGAAGGAAACACTTAGTTACTGTAGTTGTAGTAGTATTTTGGCTTTAGATTTGCAGAAGGTCCTGGACTAGGTGCCTACAGCTGCCTTTCCCAACTTGGCTTGGAACTATGGGAATTATAGTCCAGGGGTGTGAAACTGGCATGCCTCATGCGTAGGCCACACCCACCCCAGCTCCGCGAAGGGAAAAAACATTGTGATACGTCATGTGACAGCAACGCTATGATGCAAGTTTGACACCCATGGTCTAGTGCAATGGGAGGATAAGAAATTGGTGAAGGCAGGCTGGCTTAGTTGTTGAAAAACACCAGTGAGGTATCTAATTCGTGCAATCACAACAGAGAATTTTTTTCTGTGAAATAAGTTGCCTCTGTCCTTCATTCAATTGACAGATCTCCAAAACAGCTTTTTCTTTCATTCCTCTAATCAAAATAACTCTGCTGAGAAATAAAAAGATCCAGTTACCCCGCAGATACCTTGGTTCCACCCATGTTCAGGAATGCATAGATTTTAAAACAAATATGTACAATTTATCTGTGGCAGGTTAAAAAAAAATGAATACAGGTAATCCTCAATTTACAACCATTCATTTAGTAACCGTTCAAAGTTATAATGGCAGTAGGAAAAAAATTAATGTTTTTCACAGTATTATAGCATCCCCATGGTCAATGATCAAAGTTTGGACTTGGCAGCAGGCATGTTCTTATGACGGTTGCAGGATCCCAGGGCCATGGGCAGGGCCGGATTTAGATGAAAAGAGGCCCTAGGCTATTCCACTTATGAGGCCCTTTCACCTATAGTGAAAGTGTAATTTTAATTTTGCTAACAATTTGAATGTAGGCCCCTCTTGATCTTGAGGCCCTAGGCTGAAGCCTAGTTAGCCTATAGGAAAATCCAGCCCTGGCCATGGGATCACTTTTTGTGATCTTCTGACAAGCAAATTCAACGAGAAGCCAGATTCATTTAACAACCACGTTAATCACATAACAACTGTACTGATTCACTTAGCAAACTGTGGTTTTAAAAAAAGATCATAAGGGGGGGGCAAAATGTGCTTAGCAATGTCTTACTTAGCAATGGAAATTTTGGGCTATGGGGTAGTTGTAAGTCGAGGATTAGTCATATGTACCGATTAGCGTTGTCCTTTTAATCTATTTAATATATTTTAAATATATTTGAAGTCTTAAACTTTCCAGAAGCAGCTCATTCAAAACTGTTCAGTTTTCTCTACCTTTAAATGTCACTAGTAGAACAATCTATGTAGAGGATTCAAGAACCTAAGTGTGTGGGGGGGGGGGGGGGGGGTTGAGAAGGATCATTTACCTTGAATCTGCCACAGGCAGGAGTACACCCCATCAAAAGGATTTTATCCCTTAGCAGGTTTTGTTTTGAGAACAAAGCACGTTCATAATTTTTCTTCCTTATTTTTCAAGTCTTACATTTAGTATTCTTGCTAAATCTCTAGATACAGAGATCTGTTTCTCGGAGGGTATAACAACAAGAAACATGCATGCTTTTCCCCACTCTACCAATAAGCTACTCAGGGTTACTGGGGCACCTTAGAAAAAAATATTTCTGAGAGGAAAAGCTTAGGAAATATTTTTAGCAAGGAGTTCTTGTGGGAATGCAAAAACAAAAACAAATGCAACATGATAAATCCAGAAGATTTGAGCAAAGCAGTGATGAAATCCAATTTTTTTACTACCGGTTCTCTGGGCGTGGCTTGGTGGGCGTAGTGTGGCTTGGTGGGCATGGCAGGGGAAGGATACTGCAAAATCTCCATTCCTACCCTTCTCCAGGGGAAGGATACTGCAAAATCCTCATTCCCTCCCCACTCCTGGGGGAACGGTGTTGCAAAATCTCCATTCCCATCCCACTCTGGGGCCAGCCAGAGATGCTATTTGCCAGTTCTCCAAACTACTCAAAATTTCTGCTACCAGTTCTCCAGAACCTGTCAGAACCTGCTAGATTTCACTCCTGCCACCAAGCACGGCAAACGTTTTTGCAACAAGGGGGAGAGGACATTGTTGTCAGTAAAATGTAATGATAATAAAATTATAACAATAAATCACCCCTTCTTTCTGTAGAGATCCTCAGTCATCCAGGTCATGGTTATCCCAAAGGTTCTTTTTCAGAAAGCAACTGGACTTTCTTATTGTTTGTTTGTTTATTTTCTTTCGAAGACGTTTCGCTTTTCGTCCAAGAAGCTCCTTCATCTCTGACAGGATTCACTCCCCATTCCTCACTATCCTGTCAGAGATGAAGAAGCTTCTTGGATGAGAAGCGAAACGTCTTCAAAAGAAAAAAACCCAAGAAACTCAAAGTGCTGAAAGAGCACTTTTGGGACACTCCCTCCCTCCCTTTTTCCCTCCTTTCCTCTCATACAGTTTTCTCAGCAAGATTTTGGAAGTGGCCCGCCATTGCCTTCTTTCTTAGGTTGAGAGAAAATGGCTGGCTCAAGGTCTTCTAACTGGTTTTGATGCCTAAGGCCAGACTAGAACTCAAAGTCTCCCAGTTTATTGATTGCTGTTGTTATATGTTGGATTTTAATACTGAAAGTTACTTTGAGAACCAATCCTGGCCAACAAGCAAGTATAAATTAGATAATGTACACATGATACCTGGTTTTGTTGTCCTTGAGCTTTTGATCCCCAGGTGTAATTAAAAGTTGGGACAGACAGACGTGCATTAAAAGACCCACACAACAAGTGCTACCTGTGAGCTGATCCACCTTCTTCCACTCGGGCAATTATGATGGCATGAGGGGAGCGTTTGGATCCACGGCCTCCAGTGATCTGGATTCCCAGCCCGTCTGTTCCCTTCATCATAGTCATCTTCCATATCCGACAGCCTTCTCTCTGGGAGGAGACATTGAAGAGAGTCCCTGTAGTGTTATTGGGAGTAAATTGGTGGGAAATCCTTCTAACTGCATTTATCTATGGAGATGCTCAGTCATCCAGGTCATGATGGACCCGAAGGTGCTTTTTCAAAAGGCAACTGGACTTTCTTTGGTTTTTCCTTGAAGGCATTTCGCTTCTCATCCAAGAAGCTTCTTCAGCTCTGACTGGAATTTTTTCAGTCAGAACTGAAGAAGCTTCTTGGATGAGAAGCAAAACGTCTTCAAGGAAAAAAACAAAGAAAGCCCAGTTGCCTCTTGAAAAAAGCACCTTTGGATCTAACTGCATCTCTTTTCTTCTGGTTGAGAGTAACTTTTGCAACAAGGAAGGTCACAAAGATGCAGAAAGTTTAACTTCCTCCTTATCAGCCAAGGAAAGTTGGCACAACGAGGAAGCACCATTAAAGCCAATAAATCTGATGAAAACTGCTCAATGTCTGCTACCTAAAAAAATAAAAAAATCACGAAACAGCAGCAACTTGTTTTCTCTGAGAGTCTTAACTAACTTTTTAGGTCAAAAGTTGTGTTTCCTTGGTTTACAGCAACCCAGGGGATTCCAAAGAAAGTATTAAAGTATCTGATGTGGGAGCTTTCCAATTCATGAAGTTAGCATTTCGTTTTTTTCTGTCTGTCTGCTATCTTCATTCAAAAGTGATTGATATTAGCTGGGCCTGGAGCCATAAAGGGACCTACCACAGTCAGGCATAATACAACACAGCTTCTTCCGTGAATGCAGTGGTGGGTTGCTCCCGGTTCGGGCCGGTTCGGGCGAGTCGGTAGTGATGATGATGTGACGTCAGCGAACCGGTTCTCTATGACTGTGAACTGGGATCTCCCGCCCGCCCCCACGTTATACCTACCTTTATTTGTCGTTTCTTAGGCCAGCTGAAAGGCGCGGCAAAGTGGATTGCCGCATCTCAACTGGACAGAAATCTAATGCGCTTGCATGGAGCGATTGCACGCAAAGCGCGTGCGTGAAGAGAACCGGTGGTTGAATGGTTGAACCACTGCTTGAACGTTATTGTAAACAACACTATTTACTCACAAATATACAGATAGTCCTTGACTTACAACCACAACTGGGACTGGCACTCCTGTCAGTAAGCAATGGATTCATTAAGTGAGTCGCCTCCGATTTTATGACCATTTTGCTGTAGTCATTAAGTGAGCCACATCATCATTAAGCGAATCTGACTTTCCCCACTGACTTTCCTTGTCAAAAGCTTCCTAGGAAGTCACATATGGTGATCATGTGACTCCAGGGCACAGCAATCATAGTAAATACTTGCCAGTTGTCAAACTCCCAAATTTTGATTATGTGACCACAGGGGACACTGTAATTGAAGTAGGACAACTCAACCTGCCCCAGTCAACTCGCAGCAGGACAAATTGCCATGGCCGACTCGCCGCTGGACAATCCAAGACAGAATAACTCAAAAGAGGGGCAAGCAGAATTGCAGTTCACCTAGCCTAATTTGAAGAGATTCATACTTACAGTAGCGGCCAAAATTGTGGAAACATTTTGGGAAAAGTGTATTTTTTAAAACTAGCTAATAACACCACTTTTTTTGGGAGTAGTACCATAAAATTATATATCAATGGAAAGATAATTTAATAAAGAATGTAATGCAATAACTTTTATGAAGGATTTGCTGTTAGAATAGCAGTTACAGTATAAAGAAGAAAAGTGAAACACGTAGAAAAAAACGAGACATACAAAAATTATCATGTCAGTTAATACTTAGTTGGGTAACCTTTAGCATGAATTACGGCATTAAAACATCTTCCCATGGAATGAACCAAGTCTTTTAGTTCCACAGCTGTTATAATGTGAAACCAAGATTGAATGATTGCTTCTATTAACTGGGTTTTATTGCTGGGTCGCTTCTGACTAACAAGTTTCTTTAGTCGACTCCATAGATTTTCAATTGGGTTAAGGTCTGGGCTATTCCCGGGCCATCCCAGCAGTGGAATATGGTTATCTTGAAACTCCCCCCAAAAAAGTGGTGTTATTAGCCATCAAACCTCAAAAATATACTTTTCCCATAAGGTTTCCACAATTTTGGCAAGACAAGGCCCACTGCAATTCATATCTCCCTCTGTTTCTCTCTGTCTCTCTCTCTCTCTGTGTGTGTGTGTGTTTCTCCCTCTTTCCCTCTCTCCCTCTCTCTCCTGAATTGAATTGTCCCATGGCAAGTTAGCTGGGATGAGTTGGACAGGACAAGGTGTAAGTGCGAGGACCAATTTTACTTCACTTTTTTCAGGATCGTCATAACTTCAAATCGTTATTAAACAAACCACTGTACGTCATGGACTACCTGTTTAACAATGGCATGAAGGATTTTTCCTAATGGCTCAACTAAGGAAGAAAACAATCTACAAAGATGCAGCCCTGCATACATTTAAAAAAAAAAAACCCTCTCTCCACCAACACACACCTGAGAGATTTACTACAAAAATATATGCGCAAACTTTCCAAACTGAATACAGCAGGAAACCCGTGTAGGAAGTTAGCACCCACCCCTTTCCTGGAAGAATGAAATATTTTAGGAAATATTAAAAAGGCAGAATATTATGTTTCGCTGCATGAGAAATGGAGAAGCATGTTTTAAAGACAAAGCAGCTCCCACCTTCCTGCCTCCCCTCTTGTCAATGGGCCAGAGGCAGAAACTCAATCTTTCAATCTTTGAAACTCATCTGCAACACAATAGGGCCCATTTAGCAACAGAAACTAACACAATGGGACCCATCTAGCAGCAGAAACTCACCACATGGCACCTGGGAAGATTACATCAGCCAGCAAGGCTAGCTAAGACCCCCACCCCCTGGGAGTCTGACAACCAATCAGGATACTCTTTCGGGGGCCCAGGAAGTTCAAACTCAGAGACAGCATAAAACCCAGGGACTTGCTCTGTCTCGACCCCGTTTTCTGTTCAGGAACTCAAACTATGCGATCCTGTCCACCATCTTTCCAAGCAGTCTCCATGTTTCCAGTGTTTTTTTCCCCACTTGGAGCTGAACCCAGAAGGATGTTTCTTCCAACACCCGTATTACACCCTGAATGTTCTGAAGTGATCCACTTTAGGCCTTAGAAATCCCCACAATTTCCTGGCGCTAAGCCCAGCATGCACTGGTGAAAAGAAGCACACCTTGATTCCTGATTTCGCTTTTTTCTTGGTATTTCCTTTTGTGTTGAAAAAGAGACTACAGTATGCTTGGAATGCTTGAAAGAGGGTGGGTTACTGGTGGGAAGAGAGGTTGTTTTTCCTACATCTGGCAGAGGGTTTTTCTCAGTAACAGCACAACAGTTGCTTCATAACTTCCTTGTTAGCAATATTTTGCCGGCAATGGGCCCCAAGGACTTAGCCTAATATTGTTTTAGGAGGAAGAGCGATACGTTTGCGGTAATTGTACAGATCAGCTTGCAGATGATAAAGATGTCATTCTAGGGCTAGAAAGCCTTTTCTTCCCCTTTTTAAAGATTTTCAACTATTCAGGGCAAATTAATCAAAATGCTGATGCTTATTATATTGCATTCCAGCTCCTTTTATCCTCTCCCACTGATATTCATACACTCTACTGAACCAAACAGACATAACAGAATTACAGTACTATTAATGATAAGTGTCATTAATCACACGCCACACTGTTTCTATATTACATCTGCTTCATAGAACACATTATTATGTAAATCAAGAAATTGGCATGGGTGGAAGAGAATATTTCGAGCTCAGGGTTGAATTGTAGAGTCCTTGGTACTTTCTGAGGTTGGCTGTTTTCTTGCAGAAATTTCATTACCAAACTACGTCACATCATCAATGGAGGAGGAGAGCAGGGTTTGTTAGGCTGTTGTTTACTGTTAGCTAATTTGGCTTTTGTAGCAAAATAAAGCTATTTCTTCCAATGCCATTCCTCTTCTTCACTGGGTGGAAAAGAACGTAGGAAGCTAGCACCCACCTCTCTCCTAGAAGAATGAAATATTCTAGGAAATATTAAAAAGGCAGAATATTATACCTCCCTGGATGAGAAATGGAGAAACATGTTTTTTAGGCAAGAAGCAGACTCACTCTTAATAGCCCCCCCACTCTCAATAGGCCACAGCAGATGTCAGCGCTTAAGAGATAAAGAGATAGCTACAGTAGGTCTATTCGTAAGCAAATGCCCTACCCAAGATCCAACAAAGGCAGGATTAGCCTTCTACTCATCTAGCAACAGAACTCGCCACATGGTACCTGGGGAGATTGCATCACCCAGCAAGACTCAACCAAGCCTGGGACTCAAAAGACAACCTACAAAGTTATCCCTGCATGGCCCCATGAGAGTCTGACAACCAATCAGAATACAAGCTCAAATTCAAAGCCCAACAGAGGGAATAAATCTCTCTCTCTCTCTCTCTCTCTCTCTCTCTCTCTCTCTCTCTCTCTCTCTCTCTGAGGCACTTTTATAGGTTCTCTCCTTCCTCTAGCTGGTTTCAATTGAAGTTCACAGGCAGGGGGAGATTTCACCCATGGCCCCTTTTTTGTGGAGTGCTACAGAATTTGACACTCTCTCCCTGTCTATGTGCAACTTATGACCATTCATTTAAAAGCCATTCAAAAATCCATAGCTCCTTTGAACAAATATGCAAATGTATCACTTTCCTGCTTTCAGAAGTATGGGAAATTGTTACTAGCATGGAACAAGCCAGGATATGAAGCCATAGACTGAGCTTTGCATAATATCCTGGTTTATGCACCAAGCATATGCACCAAGACAAATTCCTTGTGGTCCAATCAGAATTGGCCAATAAAGAATTCTATTCTATATTTACTTAGTAATATACTACTAATATACTATATATAATATACTTGTATATACTTAGTCTGGGAGAAATGGTATAAATGGTTGGAGGAGAAAGGGGGAAAAGAAAAAAAAGGGGGGGACAAAAGAAAACTGAACAATGGTTTAATTAGGTGGAGAAAT